TTCAACTTTTTTTTTAAAAAAAAAAAAAAAAAAATATGGTTACCTTTACTACAGATTATTGGGCTCCTGCTCTTGATAGTAAAGCTCGTCGTCGTACTGAATCAGAAGAAAGGGCTGCTAGAGTTACGAGAGAACGTAGTTTATCTTCTAAAAGAAATAAAGAATTATCAATCGTTGATATTACTAATCCATCTAAATCTCCCTTTAATAACGATCTTAATAAATCTAAAACGATTGATGATAGTAAACTTGCTTTATCTAATTTGAAAATTCCAAGTGCTCCTACTTCTAATGATAGTATTATCGTTAATCCTTCTATTTCTTCAAATGATAATTTATCAATTGATTCTATCAAAAGTAATACTACTTCTATTTCTTTAAATCAATCAAAATCTTCTATTAATAATGATTTACATAAAAAAAAATCTTTGGTACAAAAATTATTTCATCATGATTCGAAAGGCGAAAATAAACCTATTGTATCATCTCCTACTGAAGAAAAAGGTGAATTCACTTTTGGTAGTACTGCTTCCGATAAATTATCATTATTAAAAGAAATTCTTAATCCTACTCTTGATCTTGATAATGATAAGCAAACTCAAAAGAGTGATAGTGGTAGTGAAAGTGGTATCAACAAATATGGTGTATGTGAAAAAGGTTGTATAGGTAAAGGTGCAACAGCTGTCGTACGTCTCTCCCATAAATTTGATAATTCAGATTGTGAAAGAACTTATGCTGTTAAAGAATTTAGGAAGAGAAGAAAAAATGAGACTGAAAAAGATTATGTTAAAAAACTTACTAGTGAATTTTGTATAAGTTCAACTTTACAACATGTTAATGTTGTACGTACTGTTGATTTGGTTCAAGATGAGAATCAAAATTGGTGTGAAGTAATGGAATATTGTGCTGGTGGTGATTTATATACTGCTATTAAATCAAATTTTATGTCTCCAATAGAAATAAATTGTTGCTTTAAACAACTTATAATGGGTATAGATTATTTACATTCCAATGGTGTTGCTCATAGAGATATTAAACCGGAAAATCTTTTACTTGATAAGAATGGTCATTTAAAAATTACTGATTTTGGAGTTTCTGATGTATTTAAAACCTGTTGGGAAGAAGGTGCTCATTTGTCAAGAGGAATATGCGGTTCTGAACCATATATCGCTCCGGTAAATATATAAATAATTGTATATATATATATATTATTTTTTTGCTCGTGTAACATTCTAAAGATGTTTTTCGCTTTCTTATTTTATTAGGAACAATTTGAATCAAAAGAGTATGATGCAAGGAAAGTTGATATATGGGCGTGCGGTATTGTATATTATACTTTGGTATATCAAGGAATACCATTTAGAATGGCTGTGCCAAACGATCCAAATTATGCGAGTTATTTGGAAAAAAGAAATAATAGAGACTATTTACCATTTGAAAAATTACCTCAAGGGTGTAGAGAATTGATGTATAATATTTTAGAACCTAACTCAAGGAAACGTATAACTATTGAGGGAATTAAACAAGATCCATGGTTTAAATCAATAGAATCATGTTCTGATACTCCTCTAAAACAATTAAAACAAACACATCAACATATCTGTCCTGAAATATTAAAAGAAATTCAAAACGTAACTACTACAGAGGAAGTTAATAATAGAGGAATTGATAGTAAAAAGTAATTTAATTTTGTTTATAATAATTTAGTTAATAATAATCATTGTACAAAAAGAAAAAAAAAAAAAAAAATTTAATTTAGAGAATCCCTAGACAACATAGTATTTAAGTTAAACAACTATTAAGTCTTTTTAAATTTATTTTATTTAATAAATAAGTAAATAAGAAAAGAAAAATTATATCATTTTTTTTTTACTTTCAATAATTGAATCATAAGATATAAGCTATTAGGAAAAAAAAAAATTAATTATTTTACTTTAAATTACCTACCTGTACAGTCAGCCTTCTTGTTTATTTATTTATTTTTATTATTCCATTATTTTTTTATATGTAGATTGGTTTTTTCTCATTATTAATTTCTTTAATTTTTTATTTTTAAGCATGAAAGTTCAAAATAATAATTTGTAATTATAAGAAGCATACTCTCTGTATTATATTATTTTTTAAAATTAATAAAGAGAAATTACTTAATTGAACGAAAAAAAACAAGAAATATCGTAATGAAGGTCATTTCAAAATTAAATACAAAATTAAATAAAAATCGGTTTATTTAAAATTAAAATAAATACATTACATTGATTTTTTACAAATTACATGATAAATCTATTTAAAAAAAGTGAAATTTTTTTTAGTGTACAAATAAATAAGATAAAAAATTTTCTATACAATAAAGTCCGTCAGATACAAACTATAACAAAATTATTTAAATAAAATAGTTTAGAAGCACATAAATTTATTTTTCTTTGATAATAATTGTTCTACTTGACTTTCTAGTTTTGCATAAGCCATTTCTACATTCTTTTTTGATTTTCTTTCTTCTGCCAAAACGCTTTCTATTTCTTCTTTTTCTTTAACAGATGTTTTCATTTCTTCATATTCATTAGTTACGGTATCCAATTGAGATTTCAAATTTTCTATTTTTCTTTCAAGTTCTAATTTCTCTTGTCGCAATACTATTAATTGTTGCTTGGCTTCACTTAATTCCTCTTCATTCTCTCCAAGTGTTACTTCCAACATGTCAATGAACTGTGTTTTTCCGTCATTTTCTTCTTCTAATTCTGCAATTTTTTTATTCAATTCTTGTATCTCAGCATAATTATCAGTTGACTTATTTAAAACTTCCGATTCGGTTGATTGTGTTTTATTTTCTTGTGCAGGTTCTTTTTTGATTTGTTTTTCATCAACAATTGATCGTGTTTGAAGATTTGTAAGCTCATAACCAAGTGTTTCAAGTTTACCATTTAATTCAGCAAGATGATTATCTGAAATATTTCCATCTTTACCAGTTGATTTTAATTGACTTATTATAGAATCAATTTCGTTAGATTCATCAGCTTTTTCTAATTTTAGTTTCTTAGCTTCAAGTTCCTTAGTCTCTAATACTGCTTCTAATTGAACAATCCGTTGTTTATGCTTAGTCTCAGCATCCTCAAAATCATATAAATCTTTTTGAAGTTGGTAGATTTTAGATTCGAGAACTCCATTTTTTACAAGCGATTCATTTCTTTCAGTTACAAACTGCTTCGCTTTGCTTTCTAATTCTTCAAGGCGTTCAACTGTTGCATCATTTCGTAAATGATCAATTTGCTTTCGAAGTGCTTCAATCTCTTTATTTGCTTGTTTAAGTTTTTTAATCTCTTCGTCACGACGTTCACGTGCTTCTTTAAGTTGAGATTCCAAAGATTTGACATGATCAACACTATAGACTTCGGTATCATTGACCTTTTCGAGTTTATGTTTTGTCTCATTCAATTTATTTGTTAATTCATTTAATTTTTCTTCTTTTTTCTGTAAATCTTTCTCTAACTCTTCAATTAAAGCTGCTTGTGCTGCTTGTGCTGCTTCTGATTCCTCTAATTCTTTGGTCAAATTCTTCACATTGTCGCATGTTATTTCTAATTCTCTAATATACTCCAATTGTTGATCAGCTAATCTTTGAGCCTCTTTAAGTTCTGATGATGATGAACCACTACGGAATCTTGATTCAATTTCAGAAACCTTTGTTTGAAGTTCGTAATCTAATGATTTAGATGATTCAGCTTTTTCTAAGTCTGCTTTTGTCTTTTTAACCATTGCTTCTAATTCTGTTAATCGTGCATTTTTGTCGGTGACCATCTTTTCTTTCTCTACCAATGACGCATTTGTTTCTTTTAACATAGATTTTAATTCATTGACCATTTGACTATGTTCTTCATCAGATGCTTTTGATTCATCAAGTTGTAATTCTACTTTGGTCAATTTTTCTCCAAGTGTCGTCATCGTTTCTTGATAATTTCGAGCTGAGAGTTTTTCTTCTTCAAGCTGAGATTGTAAGTCGGATATAGTAGACTCAAGTGTTGAAACTGTGATTTTTTGTGATACAACTGTTCTAGTCAATTGGTTATTATGCTCAACATATTGATCACGTTCCTTTTTTAAAGCTTCTATTTGTTTTTCAAGCTCAACTAAAGTTTCATTTTGTGTTTCCATTTCTTTTTTGGTATTTGATAATTCTTTACATAAAGATATATAATCATTATTACATTTTCCGCTATCCTTTAATAAATTAATTTCATTTTCCAATGATTTAATCTTCTTTTCGTTCTCATCTCGTTGTTCCAAAATGTTGGTTAAATAGTTTGTCATACTATCAAGTTCCTTTAAACTAGCTGCATGACTTTCTTTGGCCATGTTCAATTCTTCCATCATGGTTTGTAATCCTCCTTCAAGGGTCACAACGAGTTTTGTTTGAGCACAAAAATTATCTTTCATATTTTCCCATTCTCTTATAACAGTTTCTTTGGCTTCTTTTGTTTCTTGTAGTTGAGTTTGCAATTGGAATATGATCATTTTTTGTCCGGACTCTGAATCTTGTAATGATTTTAATTCATTTCTCATAAATTGTAATTGTTGATATTTCCCTTGAGCATTAGTTAATTGTTGTTCTAATTCATGAACCTTTTGTTGAAGACGAAATTCAGAAGCTTTTAGTTCGACCAAATCATTTTTCAGAGGAGAGTTTATAGGATCTTCTTGAACATGTTTCATTTTCATTTCAATATTTTGAATTTTCATATGTTGTAAGGATTTTTCGGAGCGAAGTTGTTCAATTTCTTCATTTAGTCGTTTTACTAATAATGATTCATCATGAGAACTTGATGATGATTGAACTTCATTTAATTTATTTTCACGATCTTGAATCATTCTAAGTTGTTCATTTTCTTTTAATTTCAATTCATCGATTTCATTCTGAAGAATCGAAACTTCGGATTCTGAACTACCCAACTTGGTTTCAAGGTTAGCTATTGTTTTCTTTTCCGAAATTTCAGATTCTTTTGCTAAAGCCAGTTCAGTTCTCAACTTTATTAAATCTTTATCAACTTGTCCACCTTGTTCCATCAATTGAGCTTCTAATACTGAGATCTGTTCTCTCTGAGAAATTTCTACATTACGTAATCTTTCAAGATCTTTTTGAAGTTTCGATTCCTCGGCATCTAAAATTCTTAATCGTTCAAGTGTAAGGGACTCTCTTCCTTTTACATTTTTGAATTCTTTTCCTATAGCTTCTAGTTCACTTTGTAAAGCTTTGTTAACAATATTATTTGCTTCCACTTTTTCTAATTGTTCTTGTAATCCTTTTATATGTTTTTGAACGTCTATGTCTTGACCTTTAATTTGATTTAATTGTTCTCTGAGAAAAGTAATTTCCGCCTCTTTTTCTTTTAGCATTTGTTGTAAAGTACTTTTATCGACCAAATCACGTTTTAAAGTTTCAATAAGTTCATTCTTTCGTCTAATGTCCAATTTAAGAGAATTTAACTGAGATTGTAAAGAGGCCACTAATTCTTGTTCACAATTCAAATTTTGTACATTGTTGGAATTTTTATTTAACACTTTTTGTAAAGTATCAAGTTTAGCTTCTAAATTATTAACCGTTTTTTGTGTTGGATCCATATCATGAAGAATAGATGTTCGTGAAGATATTGGCTTAGTTTCTTTCGCTTTTGATAATTGAGTTTCAAGTTCTTTTACTGTGCCTTCCAATGCTATTATATTTTCATCAATGTTTTGTTCTAGTTTGTCAGCCGAACTTTCTTCAGATATCATCACGTCGCTTTGGAAAGAATTAATGTTACTATCTGATGAAGATTCAGAGATAAGAGAAAATTTGCTATTTTTTTCTTCTATAGCAATACGAAGTGCTTCTTTTACCTCACAAAGTTCACCTTCGAGACGTCGAATCTTAGTTTGATGTTCATTATCTGGGAGCAAAATTGCAGCGATTGTATGGCTCTTTGATTCAATATCTGTTTGAAGTTTAGAAACTTGTTCACGAAGTTTCAACACTCCTTCATTTTCTTCAACTGTTGCTTGTTGAACATTTGAATCAAGTTCGGAAATTTGATTTTTATTTTGGAATTCCAAAGCCTTAACGAGTTTATCTTCCAATTCTTTAACTCGAGATTGTAATTCATTAATGAGTATTTCATTAGTATTCGTGCTACTTTTTCTCTCTTCGGCTTGACGTAATTGTTCTTTAAGTTCACGAATACTTGATTCTAATTTTTCGACAACTTCTGATTTCTTTTTATTCTCATTTTCACGTTCAGCAATACTTTCCATTGCTAATTTTTGTTTTTCTTTTAATTGTTCAACTTCTCCACGAAGACGTTGAACAATTTCAAGTTCATCAATTTGACTTGTAGGTGAACATGATCGATCAGAAGTTTGTTTTGAATTTATTACTGATTTTACTTCCAACTTTGCCAATGCATCACGCTTTCTAATTTCTTCCCGAAGTTCTTCAACAATTTGCAAAGTTTCACGATGATTTAATTCTAGACGAGATAATTCATGTTTGACTGCATCTAGACTTTGTGATTTATCTTTATGAAATGACTCAAATAATTTTAATTCAAATTGAAGTTTTTCGACTATAGCGGCATGAGCGTTATCACGTTTCTCTGAATTTAAAAGGTCAACAGATAATGACTTGACTTTTCGATGAATTAAAGATTTGGAAGAGACGTTACTTGAAGATTCTTTTGGATTATTATTATCTGTATAAGGAGTTATGGGAGTCATGGGAGTCATGGGAGTTGCAGGTGTTGATGATGAAATAGAATGTAATTCTTCAATCATTTCATTATGTGCTAAGGAAGCATCATCAAGTTGTGATTGAAGATCTTTAATAACATTAAGACATTCCTCATATTTAAATTTAGTTTCTGCCAATTCAGTAACAGTTTTTTGGTAAGTTTTTTCCAAATCGGCGAATTTAGATTCAAGCGTTGTTATTTCCGACCGATCATCTCGTGGAATTGTTTCCTTTAGTGAAGATTGAAGTACTTGAATTTCGTCTAGACTTGATTGATATTTAGTTTTTACATCATTCAATTCAGTAACAGTATTTTCACGGGATTTTTGTAATTCAGCAAGCTTAAATTCAAGATTCACGATGGTAAGGAGATTTTGTTCACCTGTAGGAGAGGATGAATTATCTTCGCCTGTCGTCGTAGAAGTTGTGGTTTCCAATGTTTTTAATTTATCAAGTTCATCGGCCAAAAGGTTTAGTCTGGACTCAAGTTGATTTACTCTTTGATTACGATCATCAAGTTTTTCCAAAAGAATTTTGGTTTCCTGTGGAATAAGATCCTTTAGTTCATTATATTGCGTTTCTAATTCTTGATATTCCATATCACGTCTTTCTAAACGTTGTTCAAGTACTTGAACGGTTTCACTAATAAATTTTTCAGGATGTTCGGATCTAGATGTTTGTAATTTAGCTTCAATTTCACGTTTTTCTAATTTTGTTTCAATCTCTTTAATATAATTTTGTAGACTATTAATGACATTCTTATTATGTTCATTAGATTCTTCAACTTCTTTATGTTTTGATTCTTGTTCTGATAAAAGATTTTCAGAATGAGATAATGCAGCATTCATCATGGCTAATTTACTTTCTAAAGAAGTTATAGTTTCTTCATATTCTTCAATTTTTGCGGAATTTACAAAATTTGAAGATTGACCATGAAGATGTGTTTCTTCATCATAATTATCCTGATGAGCCGCTAATTCCGCGGAAATTTTAGCATATTTTTGTGAAAGTTCAGCATAAGACCGTTGTAATTGTACAAGTTCTTCCAACATTTCAATTTCTTTTGAATGTTGAACATTTCCATGAGCAAAAGTTGTAAGAGGTGAAGAAGTTCGTCTCGTTATTGGTGTATCTCTCCCATTTGTTGGAGTACTCCTTCCTGGTATTCCTGATGTAGGTGTACTACGTCCAGGTATACCGGAAGTTGGAGTGCTACGTCCAGGTAAACCGGATGTAGGAGTACTTCTTCCTTGAATAATAGAATTTTTTCGACTAGGAGTCAAATTTGGAGTAACTCTACCAGGAGTTACAATACCACTAGTACTTGGTTGTTGCTGTTGCTGTTGTTGTTGTTGTTGTAATCCCAAAGTAGTATTTGCAATTTTTAAAGCATTATTTTCTTGTCTTAATTTTATAACTAAGGATTGTAAATGTCCAACATCATTCCAACCCATTTCTTCTTGATTAACTACAGCACTATTTTTAATATTTCTTGCTCGATTTGCATATTTTAAAGTATTTACAGTTTCATTAACATTATATTCTGCTGGTGAAACACATGCTATTAATAAAGTTTTTGCATTTCCACCTAAAGAATCTTGTAATAATCTCGTAAGTTTTGAATCTCGATATGGAATGTGAGTTGTATGCCTTGCTTTGTTGGGATCTCCTAATGCTGAGATTACATTTCCCAGTGCCAATAATCCAGAATTTATAGCGATACCTTCTTTTGCTCGATCTCCACTTGCCGCTGTTCGCTTTAACTATATTAAACCAAAAAAAAAAAAAACAAAAAAATTAAAATAAAAATAAAAATAGAAAAATTTTTCGTATTTTTTTTATATAAAATTAACTTACTCTTTCACTACCGGCTAAATCCACAAAATGAAATTTACTTGTAATTGTAACCCATTCACCAATATCATCAAATCTACTGCTCATAACAGAATTGGCCCTTGAAGGAGCTCTTGAAATAGATCTTGAAGAAGGAGTTCCAGGTCTTGAAAAAGTAGGTGACATTGGAGAAGTAGCATTGGTATTTAGTTTTTGTTGTGTCATTGTTACAGAAAATATTGCATGAGATCTAGAGGATTTCTCATTCATATCTGTTGCTCCTACTTGTCTATGTTGTGAACCTATAGCTAAATAACTAAATAAAAAATAAATAGTATTAAAATATTTTTAATAATAATAATAAATAAATAAAGTTTAATATTTACTTTATAACTTCATCAACATTATTAACTTTAATTTCTTGTAATCCACTCCAATAAATATTTCCTTTAGAATCCTCTCTAATTTGTACAGAAGGTCTTCCTTCTTCATCACCTTCACCAAGTAAATCAATTAAATCTTCATTATGAATTTCAATAAATGATACTTTTATTGTATATTTTCTATGATCAGTTTTTGATTGATGTATGGAATTAATGGTAGAAAATAATGTAGCCATTGCTCTCGGTATTATTCCTTTTGAATCTAAAGGTATTGAAGGGTTATCAGCTGTACCCATTGTATGTGTTTTTCCTGAAGATGTTTGACCATATGCTAATATTGTTACATTGAATCCTACGAGAAGAAGAAGAATAAATTTTTATGTAGTCGGATAAAACTCCGGGAACTTTAGACAAAATCATTTGATTTTTACCTTCAATAAATTTAGCAACTAAATTTTCAACAGATTTGTCATAAATTTCTTCTTGAGTAGTTTCAGGAGGAAATACATTATCAAAACTAAACACTTGTCTCTTTTCTCCCTCAACAACTATTTGATTTGTTGCATAAGGTGATGTAGTAATAATTTGTCTTTGAAATCGTGTGGGTAAATTTTCCAAATCATGAGCCGTTAATGGTTTTACACGTATAACTTTTAATCAGATTGACATTAGTACGTTATGTGACGTTACATTTCTCGAATAATCAAAATCAAAATATCCTTACCAACTTGCACTGAGACCTTTTCAGATCCTCCACCGGTGGAGGCCATTTTTTAAATTTTTTTTTTTTTTTTTTTTTTTTTCGTAAGAAAAATGGAAAATAATAATAAGAGAAAAGGAAAGACCGAAAAAGATATGGACCCCGACGAAGACAAATATAGAAATATGACAACGTAGTAGGATTTTTTTTTAAAGTTTTCTGTGTAGCCAATTTTTGTGCATTATGCTGCATTTTAATTGTATCAAACCCATTGTTTTCATTGAAATTTTTAAATCTGGCAAAAAGTTCTTTCTTACTGATGTCGCAGCAAACTAATTTTACTATAAGCATATGATTTATTTGCCTTAAACAGCCCTTATTACATATCGCCTGCATTAGGGATCAGCGAATTAAGTCCAAGCCTTATAATAGAATCCGAAGTCCATCATTAGTAAAAAGTGAAACGTTAGTAGTATATTAATAGTATATTAATAGTATTTTATATCAGGAAATCTCCACATAAATTACCTAACTTATCTTTATTCTCCGACCTTTTGGTTTTTTTGGTTTTAATTGTGCTGGAATGTTTGAAGTTTGCTTTAATTAAGCCAAATAAAGGTTTAATTTAATCAAAAGAGGAAAGGAGTTACCTCAAATACTGCATAAGCAAAAAGTCAGAATACGATTAATACCAACCATTGATTTTTATCCAAGTTGATTATAAATTCGAGGAATTCGAGAAAATCAAATCGTCAGAGGCTTTGCCAAAAAACAGAGAAAAAACGCGTGTCCGTGCCACATTTTAATAGAACTATGACGTGGCCTATATTTATTCACGAGTCACGACCGCCTGAAGAAATAAATAATGAATATCTTCATAATATTTGATTCAGATAGCCACATAAGCCATGCTAAGTAAATTGGTCGTGGATGTTATATTTATACAAGGAAATTTACGTGCTAATTTTTTTTTTTTTGAAAAAAAAAACCTATTTTTTTTCTCTTTTGGTTTCTAAAAATGAGTAGTAATACTTTGAATGCATATATTGGTGGAATTTTAGGATTCATAATCGTACGCATTTTAATTTAATTACAAAGATAATATTTAATTATTTAAATCGTTTAAAGAGAAAATTTTTTTTATTTTTTATTAGCTGATTCTTGATCTGATCGCTATTTTCGAAATTTTTCAAAGTGATCGTGAACCACTTTGGAAATTTATTTGGGTCGTATTTATTCTCGTCTTTCCAGTATTTGGTTGCCTTATATATTAGTAAGTATAGTATATCCCTTATTTAATATCGTTGATATATTAATATATCTAATATTTTATTTATTTTCAGTTTCTGTTCAAATCGCGATAAGCATAAGTCTAAACATTAATAATCGCTTCTTTAATATTGTGAAATACAATGTTGTAAATAGTAAATTCGTAAATATAATTTTTTAGATCTTATTTTTTTTTTTTTTTCAGTTATTAATAATGATGATTTCTCCAAAGATCATGAATGGGTTAATAGGTTAGGAGTGAGTAAAACAATAAATTTACTATATGAATTTCCAAAAATATTCACGTGATTAATAAAATTTGGTCTACAAACCCACATCAGTGGCACAGATATTACTATTTTTATCGCGTTTTTTTTAATGAAAGAATGAAAGAAAAAAAAATATCTTTTTATTGAATTTTTTTATTTTTTTACGAATATACAACAAAACAGTAATTTTAACAAAAAAAAGTGTTTTAAAGTATTTTTTTTAATGAAAATAAGTATTTATAAAGTGTTTTTTTTAATAAAGCAAGTATTTTAAAGTGGTTTTTTAACGAAAACAAAGCATTTTTTATTATTTTTTTTAACGAAAACAAAGTATATTTAACAAAGTAATTTACAATTAAACCGCGAAAAAAGTCTGTATAAACAAAAACAAAAATCGGTGGCTTAGCTGTGCCACTGACGTGGCTTCCTGTGGGGTTACCAATTAGTATACATATATTGTGCGTCAGATATAGATTGATACCTGACGCGCGTCACTTGTTGTGTGTCAGGTTGACGGCGCAGTGTGGCGCAGCGATTTTTCCAAAAAAAATTAAATTGCAATTTTTTTTATTTAAAATAAAACCTTTAAATTACTGCACTAGATGTATTTTCGTCCGCTCTGCAAATTTACTTAGAGTATATACGGGCGGTTTAGAAGGCTATTTTCGAGTTATTTAACAAAAACCGTTTTTTTGACAAATCCAATTTTGGAAATGATCGGCAAAGACGATAAAATCAGTTGTTATATACTAAAGTCAAAATCTACGTCCAAAACCTCCTTCCGTTTATAAGTTAATTTTGTAAAACAGATGAAAATACATCTAATGTGTAAATTTGAAAGCATTACATTAAAAAGAAAATCTTTAACTTAGATTTTTTTGAATTACTGCGCCACACTGCGCTGTCAACCTGACACACATTTCAGACGTGCGACATTAAATTTCCAGACTAATAACATTTTTTTTTCATACAATTGATTAAACTCAAACTCATGACAATTTTTTTCAAGCAAATCTTATAATATATATTTTATATAAACTAAATAGGTATAAAATTTTCATAATACATATATGTAATTTATTATTACATACAAGTTTACTTAAAAGTAGTTTCATTAGTAAAAAAAAAAAGTTTACTATGGGAGACCTTTATTGTACAATTCAGGTGAACACAATGTGAAAGTGGGGGTTTGAGGACTGAAGGTCTAATCCCCACTGAAACATTGGGTGTGTGGGCCACAGAACGTTAAATCAATATCAATTTTTCTTATTATATTAGAAAAGCTTCTATCAGCTTTAGAATCTTAATTTCAATATTATATTTTAAAGCTTTATGTGGGTTCTCCATCTTCAGAAAGCATATCGATTTTTATTAATATATTAGAAAAGCTTCTAATGGCTTTAGAATCTTAATTTCTATATCATCTATTCAGTTATATTTATTAAATCTAACGAAAATTATTATATCAGGAATTGATTCTGCATGACTAGTTAGCTCATTAATTAGCATATTAACTACTTAAGTCTAATGAAAATAAGTCAAACAATCCTTATTATCCCTTAAATAAGTCTAACGAAAAATTGTAAATAAGTCTAACTGTTCCAATTCCTCCATCATATTAAAGTCTAATGAAAATATGTATGCCATGTTCTATATCTATGCGCGTTAGCTTATTAAATGGCATATCGAATTATTAAGTCTAACGAAAATTGTTCCAATTCCTTCTGGTATAAGTCCAACGAAAAAATTTAAGTCAAATGATTGTTCTAAGTTCTCCATTAATAAGTCTAATGAAAATTGTGAATAAAGAACTGGTTTTGCACAGGCAAACTCCTTAACTAGCATGTTTTATATAAAAGTCTAATGAAAATAACTCCTGTAAAAATCCTGAAAAATCTGTGAAATTGTTACAACTTTTCTTTAGTCAAGAATAGGCTTAGCATAGACTAGCTCATCAAATAGCATAAAACTTTAACAAAAAAATATAAGTCTAATAAAAATTTAGCAAATGCCTATTGGATATTGCATCTAAAATTTAAGTTAGCCAAAATAATCTTTTCATTTATTCTAATCGGCAACTAACACAATAATCTCTTTATTCCATTTTTATCAGAATAAGGCATTCCTTGCAAAGAGAAATATTAAAATTTGTAAGCATATTTCTATAGGTAACTATTATTTTCTCATAACTTCTTTCTCGTATCTCTGATTAAAGTTTATCATAGAATTGGCTAGCAAAGGATTGGCTAGAGCTCTGAACAGGTCAGCCAAATTCAGGTAATCTGATCTGACCTGACCTGACCTGAAATTCAGGTCAGGTATGAGATTTTTGAAAAAAATTCAGGTCAGGTATAAAGATTGACCTGACCTGATTAACCTGTTGACCTGAAACTATTGATTCTACTATATAATAAAAGTGAGTTGCAGTATTGCGATTCACTTTTTTATATTGATTTTATATAATAAAAGTAAGTTATAGTATTGCGATTCACTTTTTTATATTGATTTTATATAATAAAAGTAAGTTGCAGTATTGCGATTCACTTTTTTATATTAATTTTATATAATAAAAGTGAGTTGAAATATTGCGATTCACTTTTTTATATTGATTTTGTATAATAAAAGTGAATTGCAGTATTGGGATTCACTTTTTTATATGATTTTAATATAAAAATGTTGAATCGTAATATTTCGAGAAAAAACATTGCGAAAATATTTTTTTCATAATATTATATTAAAAAAAACGGTTTGCAATATTTTTTTCAATATTTTAATAAAAAATGTTGCAAAAACGTTTTTTTTCATAATATTATATTAAAAAAAAAGTTTTGTACCATTTTTTTTCAATACTTTAATAAAAATAGTCCTGAAATTTTTCAGGTTTCAGGTCAGGTTAGGTTAAACAGACAACCTGATATAACCTGATCTGACTTGACCAATTTAGAATTTTAGCCGATTGGCCAATATAAATTCTTTCTTGTCAAAGCCTATCATAGTATTGGGTAATATAATAATCTCTAACATGTAGTGGATATCATCCACAAGCAAAGGCTGTAGGCTTTCCATAATTAGAATAAGGTATATGTTTTTTAGCCTTCCAATGGAATCAACATCCTTCAGGCCTAGTACTAGCATTCTCACAAGCCATTCCGATATTGCAGAGAAATGGGCAAGAATATGTGCCAATCATCCTACTTTTTTATTACTAGATTCAAAAAGATTAATTAATAATTAATTAATGCTTCAGTTTTGCAATAACTAGAACCGCTTCAAAAAGCTTATAAATACTTATTTTTAGTAGAGTTTCTATAATTGAAAAGTGATAGATACATAAGAAATAAATAATTAAAGAAAAAATTATATAAGCAAGTAATAGCGCAACAGTTAGAGCTAACTATATACCAAATGTTTGATACTTACCCAGAATATATAGAAGAATTTAGTATAGAGATAGCTGATTTCAATCCAATTGATCCTATTGCCTATATACCTTTGCCAGAAACTTTGCCAAAACATAATAACAGAATTATTAATATTCAAAATAAGAATGACTGGTATTTTGGATGATGTGTTCTAGAAGCTTTGCATCCGATTAAAGTTTATCTAGAAAGAAATCCACATCGGCCATAATGCAAGAGTCTAAATAATACCCTCCAACCGGTGTAACTAAAGATATGAAATAGATTACACAGAAATTAATGTTAGATAGTGATAATTAGTTAACTGAAAATATAATATAGATAAATAATTAGCCGATGGGTAAATAATTAACCGATAAATAATATTTATAGTTTAGTTTAGTCACAAGAAAGTCATATGATAATACATTTTTATTTTTTATTATTTTCTTAAAAATTTTAATAGAAAAAGAATAGTAGATAGTAGAAATAATTTTCTTAACATGTATAAATACAAGTGGGATTCATTAGGAATTTCGCAGTCAATTTTTGGCTCAAATAAAATAATATTAAAATATTAATTATTAAAAGTTATTCAAATATGAATATGCTCATTGTACGCTTGAGAATTAATTAATATTATATTATAAGTCCAGAGAAGTAAAGTAAGGGAAATTATCCTAGTTTAATTATTATATGAACTGAAATAAGAAGTTAAGAGAACTCTCGCAGTTTATAAGAGAAATTATGAGAATGTAAGAGATATAAATGAAAGAGAGCAAGAAGTTAAGAGATTATAAAATCTAAACCAAGCATAATATTGAACTGAGTATGAGTTTAGTCTACCGATATGTGGTAGGTATCGGTGACGTCAGTAAAGAATAGGAGTATCAAAACTTTTAATAATTATAAATGCATGCAACCAAATCCATATCGAATAATCTGAGATCTTGAAATGCTAATTGGAAAGCTGATTCCAGAAAAGAAAACAAAGTTAACCCATACAAAAAGGCTACAGATGCATAAGCCATGTGGTTATTGCTATATGATTATTCATATGGATAGTTTACTTAACTATGAAATCATAAGTCACAATTTATATAGAGGACCTGATGCGCTAGAAAGATTTGTCCTCAAAATCGAAGAGGAACTCTTAACTATCCAAGAAAATTTATCTGCACCGGCTAAAATGATAATGGCATCAGGAGACTTGAAAGCATATAATGAAGTGACAAAACCCCGCTTATTTATAATAAAGGTCACTGTAGAAAATTGGCCCCTTACTAATAGTTTTTACCTTACTTTTTTCTTACATTCTATTGGTTAATTAGCTAAAAAGGAAAAAAATCATAACAATATAACATAAAATTTCCTTTTATAGTAGAATCTGCTATATGGGCTGATTTGTCTACCTTTAATTAAAATATTGATTTTATTACATTTTTATTATACAAAATACTATATAATATACAGTAAATTGGAAATGAGTATTAAAAAATTTTTATT